TTAAGGTTTTTCTACACTCTTGTTGAGATCGAAGTTTACCAGTCTGCTGTTGCACTAGCTCCTGCTAACCTTTTTTTTTTTTTTTTTTCCTTTCATCCTTCCAGCTTTATTATTAAGCATCATTTTCTTCGCACTTACGCCATATGCAATTCCAAAGCTAAATTACAAAGATTTTAAAAGTAGCATGTGTTTAGAATTCCGATGAAATGTTAAGTGCTGGCTAATATTTTTCTTTATCTTTTTTTTTTTTTTTTTTTTTTTTTTTCAGTCTTTTCTCAGTTTATTACATTAATGTACAGTTTCCTTAGTAAGATGCCTTACAAAACTTTTTCTGTCTTTTAATTATTAAAGTTTTGTGTGTTAAATTTATTAATTGAATATCATGTTCTTCGAACTTAAGCCACATAAAATTCAGTTTAACAGCAAAATCACAAAATATTTAAAAACCGCACATCTTTAGAATTTCCGATATACAGTCTCGGGCGCTGCAGATAACAATGTTTTAATCCGTACATTGTTGCCACTGATGGCTTTCAGATCGTTGAGTTTGTTAAAAATTCATTAAAGTTTTACAAAATATGAAATATAAAATTCGAAATTCGAAATTCGGGTTTCCAGGTGCGCATGTGCGGGTGGAGGACTACGTTATTCAAAAGTTAATGGCTCTAGATACCGTCGCTTTTTCACAGTGCAAGAAACATGCATAAATTCATTGCAGATTCTTCATTATTTAATTTCTTTAAAAGTAATACAATGCAATAATATTTCGTAGGAACAATTTGAAAATTGATTCAGACATTTGCAGCGATACGCCGCCAAATCCCGTTTCGAGATAAATGGCTCATTCGAGCTAACGCCTATATGGGCTAACAATAAAGCAAATGAATTTAAAAATCAAAATATCGAATACTATTTAAATATAGCACTACAGGAATTCATTCGATAAATTACACTAGCAAGTAGAAATATATCCCTCACCTTTTTTACTTCCTTGTACGAAGTAAAAAGGAAGTATAGTAATCGCGAAAAATTTCAGGTATCATATTTCAACGAAAATATCCATTTTGACCGCTATCGAATGCAATTTAACGATGTTTTTGCGTGACATCTGTACGTAAGGATAGAATAAAGGACCTTTTTCCCCCAAAAAAATTATAAAACTTGTTTAAAATGAATTCTGAAGGGAATTTTTCGTGGCGTCTCTGCGTACGTATCTCGCATAACTCAAAAACGAGTAGCCTCAGGACGTTGAAATTTTGTATATAGGACTGCTATAACATGTAGTATTTTGGTTGCAATTGCCCCTCGTATTTTGGTTGCAATCGGACTCACCCAAAATATATATAAATATATGTATATATATACATATATATCCACTCTGTTACTCGGCTCAATGATGTCAGTTTCTTTATTCTTATATTTTTGTAAATTGTGCATTTTTTGCTTTAAAAATGATTGAATTATATTGTTCTTATCTTCCGGTTAAGGATTTTATGCCTTTAGTAAATCTGCATGCAATATTTTTAGAATTATCAACAATTTAAGAGTTGTTTAAGTGCCGCTAAGCCTAATTATTTTTGCCATGGCGGCCATTGCTTGTTTACATTTGAAACAGCAGGATAGTGGATTTATTGCCAACACAGATAAAGCAAGCTTCGCAATAACAAAGCTAACGCCTTCTTTTATTATTGCGAATTAAATCATGCTTAATCCATTCTGGAATTTATTCGAGGAAATAAGTGTTTAAGATTTACTTCATAATTTTCAATACAAATATATTGAGTTTTTATATATTTTTGCCTTGTGGCAAAGTGAAAACTGAATTAATTGAATAAGAAATACTGAATCGTCTGTGTAAAAAAAACTTTGTTGTTGTTGCTTGCTTAATTTCTTTTATACATCGTTTTAGACTTATTATACTCCCGCGTGTATCATATACTAGGATTAAACCCTCAAGTTGCTATATTTCTCAAGCTAAATTTTGACGCTGAGCAAGTAATTTTCTTGGGTGTTAAAAAGCTTCTAATATATTTTTCCGAAAATAAGTTTGAAGTTTAACGTAGCTTGAAAATTATCTGTCTTTTTAACCATTTTTACGAAAAAAAGAACTTATACTTTTTAACACGCGTGAAAATATCTCTGAAAAAGAAGAATTTTTAATATTTTCGAACAATATCCATCTGTTTCGTAGTCGCTTCCATTCCTGTATTCTTTAATATAAATAAATGATAAATAAATTTTAGGATATAATGATAAATTTTAGGAGAACGAGAAACTAAATTAACGTTTTGGAGAACGGGCACATGAAGAAATATTCTCTTTCATATTCTTGCTTTCCATATGAGAGATACAATAATTTAATTTTTCTTTTCCTTACGATCTATCTTTATATATCCGTATACTTGCATAGTCCTTGGGCGTTTAGACTCCTATTCTTCACTGGTTTAAACTGGTTTGCCTCGTTACTAAACGATTTCCTTTATTACTACAAACTGGCCAAGTAGCATCTTTTATGAAGAGAGTACTTACATGCCATTATAAAAGAATAATTCCGCTTTTTCCTCGTCATAAATCACCTTCTGTTTTAGATTTAAGTCTTCTTTATAGTTATTTTATAATCTGTTAGATTACTTCTCCACACACATATACATATATATGATTTAAATGTTGTTGGCATGAAGATAGATAAAAAATGTAAAGAATGCAACATAGAATGTGTAAAATATAGAGGAGGTTGTATTATGATGATTATATAAATTGGAGATATAATGAAGTAGGACATTTCCTAAGGTCACTTCAATAGTCAGATATACATCAATGTTCTTAAAACTGTTCTAAAACCATCCTTTTGTAAATTATTCGGTGATGCAAATGTGGTTGCAACAAACCATTGATTTTAATGCAGTAGATTCTTTATAATAATATAGATGTTTAAGACTGGCTACCGCAGTCCGAAGATTTTAAATCGATAGAACATATATAGAATCTTTTAAAGCGAAGTTATAATAATACACAGTAACGGCCCACCAGCGGCCGAGCGGTAACGCCGCTGAACACTGGTAGTTTGGTCCGAGGTACGAATCCCGCAAACGGGCTGGCTGCATGAGCGTTTTCGTGGTTTTCCCCATGTGTAGCGTATATACGAGCCAGTTTCCCTTAGAAAGCCCTCCACGAAGGCATCCCTCCCTTAAGGCAGATAGCTCTCGAGTGCTTTGCCATAATCTAATAAACCAGTCAACCAACATATCCAGTAACATCCAAAGTTTCTCTTAAAATGCTCTTGAACAAATTTGGAATGGCATGAGTGTGTAATAATTTCGCTAAATATTATCTGTTTCGTTAATTGTTAGTATGCCGAGTAATTGCTAGTTGCTGCTGTAATTTCAACTAAAGGTGGAAGCACCAAATATTAAAATTGTGATAAATATTGCTTATATTTCATGAGAAAAAGTTTGATTTTTATTTATCTCAAAACCATTTCGAAGTATATGCATTATTATAAGGTGCCTAATACTTTTGACCAAGGCTGTAGTTTAAATAAATAAATCAATTTTAGAAATATTTTTAAATTAGTGTATTTGATTTTAAGTCAAATTACATTCACCAGATTAAAAATGTGGTTTAATTCACTTGAAGATAAATTTAATTTTGAGTTTAAAGATGATGAATGTAACGTAGCATACATCACGAAAAGAGAAATAATAAAAAAAAAAAAAAGAATCGCGCACACGCAGTTGAAAAGAAAGTTGAAACGTTTATTATTTAAATTATTTTTATGCCACTATCCCAGAAAATCTGCAGACATTTCGTTTGTGAATTTTTCTTTTACACTGAAATGAATGCATTAAGAAATCATCATTTTACTTATTACAAATATTGTATTACAAATATTGTAAATAATATAAATATATATACAATATACTTTACATTATTTACAAATATTGGAATTTTACAGTACCGTGGCACACTTATTTTAATTTTGTAGATGGCTTTGCATTGGAGCTTCACATGATAGAACCTATTATATATAATCATTTATGATAATAATATTATTATACTTTATTGTGTATTTCATTTAACATACATCATCTTTATTGCCTCCAGACGAGTTACAGTTCTCAGATCATCAACCATGACATCGACAGTAGCTTTTTCTTGTTGACTATGCAGAAACTTGTTGAAGTTCACAGAATAATTGTTTAATATATATCATATTACATTTTTCCGATTGCAAAACTTTTTACAGTAAACTTTATTGCAATGTGCCTATCTTTATCTTCTAACCAAATAGTTTTACTGTTACGGGTATAAAAAATTATGTTCTGATCTGTTTAATGAATTTTGTCATATATTGTTAATTTTTTTAATAAAATACTGTTTTTTGTTTAGGCGCTTCTCTCTTTACAACCCATCTTTAGTATTTCTATGTTATCTGACACTTTTAGCTATCCAACCTCCATTCAGTTCTGTTTACTTCTGTTTCGTTATATCGTTTCGTTAATTGTTAGTATGCCGAGTAATTGCTAGTGGTGATAGTAAAATCAATTGCTAGTCGTGACAGTAAAATCTAACTGTATTTCATTTTGGGACTGAAAAGAAAATACATTCCTATAAGCAAATAAAATGAAAGTTGTACCATTTTATGACTATTTTTGCTTAATATAAGATTTATCATAATGAAGTAATTAAAAGCTTATCGTATATTTAGATGTAATTCCAATATGAATCATGGGTAATAATAGATTATGACAATTTTCTGCAGTCAAAGTAGCAATGCTAGAAATTTATAACTTTAGCATTGGAAACAATATTGCAAATAAAATCTTCAGATCAGATATCATATGAAATAAAAAGAGGAAATATACGCAAATCGAAAGTTAAAAAAAGATGAACAATAATTGCATTTCCTGCGTTACTCGTTTTTACGAATATGGATTGATTGCAAAAATACAATACCAGTACGATGAATCTGAATGTAGCAAGAAACAATACATGGATCATTCACAATGATCTTTACATTTTCATGAACAAAAAAAAAAGGATAAATTTTGCTCATATTTCGACAGAGATTGACTCGTTGGGATGGTATACAATTCCGTTTGGTTCATTTCCGTGGTTGGAAGCCATCTTAGCGGTGCGCTCGCTCACTCAGACTTTAGTCAAATATGTTTTTCACCATCTTCATTCTTCAATTTTCATTTCTACAGGGAAAGCGAATTAAAGAAAATTAAGAATATAAAACATTTTACAATTCAGTGGTGATTATTATTGCTATTTTGTGTATTAGAGCTTGCAAAGCAGCTTAATCACGAAACTACGAAATTAGATTTAAAGGCCCCAAATTAGAAAACTTTCAAGCTTTAGATGATTTCATTGAGGATGTTGGAACGCAGCATTCTTCTAGTCCTTTAAATTTCTCTGAAAGAATCAATCAACGTCTTGTGTCGCAAATAATTCGTGCTGTATTTACTTTGTTTTCAGACTGTAAGTTTCGGCTTGAACAAATGAAGTTTTACATTACTGATCAAGTTCGCTATTAAATTTTAATACGTTTAATTTAAAATTTTTGAATTACGCTAAGTTTAATAAGTGGTAAGCGGAAATTATTATGCCGATGTAATAAACGACAGTATGAATAGTAAGATTTAACAAAATCCTCTATAGATTTTCTTTAAAAATATGCTGTTATTTTTTTATTTTTTATTCGTCAGTTTATTATATTTTATAGGTTTCAGTTTATATATGTTCTGCGGAAAATTAAATTTCATTATAGGACATTTCGACTAGATGATTCTTCTCCATGGTATTTTACTGTTTAATGATAAATATTATCGTTAAACATAATAGTCATTTCATTTTCATAGATATGAAGTTCATACTTATAAGAATCCTGTTTGAAAGATAGGAGTGTATGTTTATTGAATTCCATTACCTTCCATGAATGTGAAAATAGATTAGAAAGGAGGAGAAAACAGATTACTCGTATAAGTAAAAAAAAATTGTATCAGTTATCTTACCTAAACTTACAGGACGTAACCAAATGTTGCGTGATTAGAATTACTTCTAAAATTCTACCACAAAATCTGTTATATTCAGTCGCTGTTTTTATGTCCGTAATAATTAGATATAATCAATAACTCAGCATTCTGATTTAGGATGGTTAAGGATACCTACTGTAGCATGAGAATCAAGACTCCTGTTTGAGACACAGGAGTGTATGTTTATTGAATTCAATTGCCTCCCATAAATGTGAAAATTGGTTAGAAAGGAGGATAAACAGATTATAAGAAAAATAAATGTGTCAGTTATCTTACCTAAAATTACATTACATAATAGAAAGTTGCGTGATTAGAATCACTTCTAAAAGTCTAAGTTGGTGAATCAGCCAACATGAAAAGCAAAGAATTTAAATCTACGCACATTTGTGAAGTGGCATATTCAAATATGGAATCGATGTACTTTTAAAGGGAGACTAACATCTTTCCCAAGTGGCCCGATGTCATGTGGATGGAGAAAAGAAAAGAATGGAATCAATTAAAAATACTAATATAAAAAAAAAAGAAATCAGATATTTGCTTCTCATTATTGCTTAAAATACACCGTTTTATAACTGAAATTAATCTCAGTTATCAAACGGTGTATCATTGGTCACATCATTACCGATGTAGGACTAATATTATGTGATAGAAGGCATCAAAATCTTCTTCGAGGCGTTGAAGTATGGCGTGATCTAAAAGAGAATGGAAACACTTCTCTCATAAACGACTACGATTTTCTAATCGAATGAAAAATATTTAATTAAAAATATACTTTCATTTTCTTTAAGTATATGACTGCGAAATGAGGAATAAAGACAGATAATTCTCTTTAATGTTTAAACACCTAAAGGTCCAAGAATGATATTCTAGGGTTTCGAGAGAAAGGTGAAAATAATTTGGGATACGAATGTACTACTTCCGACCTGAATGAATTCGCGAAATTAAGACTCAGATGTTTTTCCTTTCTGTAGTCACTTGAAGCCATGATTTTGAAATGAACATTAAAGGCCTTAGTAAATAGCATTTGCTTTAGCTGAAATATAGTTGATCTAGTGTTCCCTTTAGTGTCAAATATGGCTCCTGCCAAACAAAGTGCTGGTTTCAAATGCACATTCAGTTTGCGAAAGAAAATGGAAATATGCTTCAGCAAGGATGCTTGGTGTTGGTGAAAGTTAGAACGGAAGATGATTACTTATTTATGGATCAGAGTAACAATGATGGCGAAGCTGAAACAGAATTCAGAGATCTGCCTGAATGTACAACGGAAGACGAACATGACGAATCTTTCATACTATCCGATAATGAAAGTTTTTAAGTTTACATGTTATGTCATTTCTTTTCAACAAACAGCATTAGGTAATTTTTGTACTCTGATTTTTTTTCCTAATTTTTAATCTATGACTTTTATATCCGGCGTATAACGCGCACTGTTCAATTTCTATCTTATTTGTATTGAAAGTATGCGTTTACGCCGAAATATACGGTTCTTATAATCGCTGGTGTTTACAGATAGCTTAACACAAAAGCTGTAAAACTTTTTCCTTTCTTGTAGCACAGTCAATACAATTAAGCAATCTTAAACTAAAATTAAAAACAAAATATATGTGCATGCCTATATTTGCTTAAAAGTATTTATACGATGCTCTGAACTACGACTAAAAAAAATATTATAGACAGAATTCATCCGTTCGCAGCCAAACTTGAGAAGCTTATGAAAGAAAATCTTTTGGGACAAGGCAAAAAATAGTAATTAAATCACTGTGGCGATATTTTCAGGTATGGCTTTGTCATTACGATGTTTTAAAAGCGTGCTTTGTGTAAGAAATTAACATATGGTAATAAAAATTACGATAATAATGCTCATTCTTAGGAATTTGTCAGTAAAATTTATTTTTATTATCGCTATTACAACGACTTGTAATTATTTAATTTAATTAATTATTCTAGATCAGTTCTGGGCAATAGTTTCACAGCTGAATTTTAAAATGTAAAATTTAAACAGGTTTTAAATCGACTTTTCAAATTACATTAAAATTTTCCTAATCGAAGTTGGTTTTTGAAAAATTAATGATTATTTATGTTAGTTGCTATATTCCGATATATGTTTAAAATAATTTTGCAAGTTTAGGACGATGTTTTCCCATAGTAACAAACTAATATTTCATTTATGTATAATAGTTATATAACCTTTCATTCAGTTTAAATGCCGAACAGCGGTCGAGCGGCAAAGTCGCTGAATACTGATAGTTCGGCTTGGGGTTCGAATCCGGGCGAACGGACTGCCATGGCATGGACATTTTCGTGGTTTTCCCCGTGAAATCATTCGTATAACGTGTATATGAGCCTGTTTCCCTTATAAATTCCTCCACAAAGACATCCTCTCCTTAGGCAGATAGCCCGTGAGTACTTTACCTTAATCAAGTAAACCAAACCAATCATTCGGTTTAAACATTTTGCACATAATACATTCAGCTAAAATAATTATATGTGAATGATTACCGTTGATAGCACGACTGTAAGAGGTAAGCTATTCATTAAATTCGGAATTCGATACTTTGAATTCCGAATGATTTTATGGACAATGTCTTATTTTTAATCAGATTTTTTAATAGTGCATTAGAAAAGGGAAATCACGTGACAGATGGTTGTGATTCATATATTAGATACAATTCTAAGTGTAGGAATGAACTATTTTATCAGTCAGATATTCGATATCGGTTTCAAAATTACTGTACTAAGCATTACTGTTTCCGAGAACATAGATAAATATCAGTATTAAACATTATAAAACCATCACTTCTGAGGAAGACTTACTTCGATAGGGATAGTTAAACGATTAGAAACACACAATTCCAGAATGGACGTGGTTGCTTTAGAAACGGAACCCCTATGTTTGCTCCTATGTTATTATGAAATAATGCTTCACATTAAGAGGTAGTCTTCTGTTCTACGTCATGAGAAGTTTTACTCTAATAAAATTAAAAAATGCACATCTCTTTACAGAGAAAAACCGGAATGTTTCTCCACTTAAGGGACCTAGACCGCTGATTAATCGCCAAAGAAGTACACAGATAATATGCCGTTTGGTTAAATTTATTCCGATTATAAGTAAGATTCAATATGAGGTACATCAGGGAAAACAGTCTTACTTAGAAAACCCAAAATAATACTTTAAAAAAACATTATTGATTAAAAAAAGAACATTATTGATAAAATTTTAAGAGCTGAAAGTACCAGGTATGAAGAATAATTTTTGATAATGCATTCTTAGCATTGGAAAACGTTGATCGTATTTATAATTCAAATATCGATTCAGTTTTTATCCAACAAACTGAAGTTCTTTTTTAAATGATGTTAGCTATTTTCTATTTTACTTGCAAGAAAATGTTGAACCATAAGCTTCATTAATTCATTTTAAAACCGTAAGAATATAATTTAAAATGATTTGTGACCACATTGCATATGTTTCCTGTACCTCATAATTTATATCCAGTCACTTGAAAATTAAAAATTATTTTTTTTTTCTGTATTAGAAAACATACTGCTGCTATAATGCAGACTTCATAAAATTTTTTAAAAACATACATTTAAAAAATTCCTTTTCTGAGAAAAGGGTAACATATTTTTATATCTTATAATTCAGAAATTTAAATGTGGAATTTTTGGCATTTATTTTTGAAGATAACAGAAATTCGCATTTAGTCAGAGGAAAATGATAAAGTTTCTATAATGTTACTACTGTCTGCTTAAATGCATTTAAAACTGCTTAACTTTATTAACTTAAACGCAACAAAATAGTGTTTCGTTGTGTTATAGGGTAAAATAGTGGTTAGTTCGCAGATCATGTGGTACGCTTCAATTTCGGAAGATCCAAGGCGAATCACTGAGTGAAACTCCCATCTAATTCACAAACTTTTCCACTTCTCAAAATTTTTGAAATGAATAATAAACGCAGCGTACACAAAATCCGCTCAGGATTCCTCGTACAAATAATTTAAACACCTTGAAGGAGTGCTTGAATTTACTGAATAAGAAGACTTTGTGAAGTTATATCAAAATGTGTTGCCGAAATAGGGTAATATCGCTTAAAACTGAAAATTATGAAGTAAAATATATTTTTAAGAAAACTCAAAACGGTTATGCGTATGATTCAAACAACGATA